TTTTTTTAGGGGGAGGGTGTGTTACTTATTTTCTCATAGTTTTAGTTTCCTCATTTTTTAATTAAAGGAGAATTTGAATAACTTCTCACAAGGTAAACGTGGGGAGATAATAAAGGTTTGAAGATATGTTAGAGCACTTGATGAGTTAGAAGGCGCTATGCCAATGACAGGTCCTTTTATGTCCTAACTTTTGTGGAAGGCATGCAATCCTGTCATTTAGACACCCTGCTGCTAGACCTTCTTTTATTGTTGAGGTTAGACACCCAGAGCCTTAAAGAATACTTGTTCCTCAGGTACCTTTCATGACAGTGTTGGTATTTCCGGAAAGCTGTAATTGTTCTTTAAAATGAAGGAAGGGGAAAAAAGCCTTACCTTTACTAAAGAAGTTGGATTAATGTAGTTAGGAATAAAACAATAGCCTACAATTTGCTTGATGATGCAAAGAAGATATCATGCTAGATTTTGGAGTCTCACCAACAGTACACTTGTCCTCAAAGTCTTCCAAGTCCTGGGACACAGAGGAAACAATTGTCCCACTTAGCAGTTTTTGATGAATTTATCCTGTATCAGAAAAACCATTGTATGTGTTGGTGTTTGGCAGACTGCTTAGAGCAGCTCTGTCTGATAGAGAATGTGAGTCACATGTATAATTTTAAATATTCTAGTAGCTTCATTTAAAAAAAATTCAAGAAACAATTGAAAATAATTTAATGTTTTATATTCTCAATATATTTAACTCAATATATTCAGAATATTATTTCTATACCAGTTAATTAAAAAATTATTCATGGTATATTTATTTCTTTTTTGATATTAAATCATTGAAATTGAGCATGTATTTTATACTTACAGCACATCTCAATTCAGGACTAGCCATATTTCAAGTGCTCAATTGCTATATGTAGTTAGTGGCTGTTGTATTGGATAAGCAGTTTTAAAGTATGGTGTTTCTGACACTTTCACTGTTTTGCTGTGGGGCACATTGAATATTTTAGGCAATTATTTGCATCTTATATAATCAAGCCACTCAGTGATTATTAGTCATATTTTTATTATAAAGAAATGCCTTTTAGTAAGTATCATAAGCATTGATTATGGAATCCTGAAAAAAATTATTGGTCTCTTTTTTTCTCTATAAAATGGTATTAATACTGATTTTGAAAAAAATAAAAAGAAATAGGTTCCATTGCTTGAAGGCTATGTGTCAGACACCTTAACTGTGTTACATTGTTTAATCCTCACCACAACTCTGTGATGTAGATATTATTATATACATTTTGCCTAGGAGGAACTTGAGCCTCAGAGAGGCCAAATAAATTGTCTAAGGTCATTCCCTCTGGTGAGGAGTGACAGTGCCAGGATTTGATTCAAGAGTTTCCTGCTTCCTGAGCGGACCTACTCCCCCACGTCTTTAACCATCTCCCTACTGTCTCTGTTCTCAGGGCTCTGGAGGTAGAGATCAGGTTAACTCTTTATAATTATATACACTTCAGAAATAATGTCATAATGAAAATGACAATTTGAGCAGCATAACTAATGACAGTTGGGAAGGCATTTTTCTACTAGAGAGAGTATCATGCTTATCCTGCCTCTATGACAACAGGATTCATCATTTATCCCATTGTCAGAACAACTTGTAATTTTTGCAAATGGCTGTGCCTGCCCCCTAGATTAAACTACCTGCGTACCTCCCATGACTGTAAAAGGCTTAGTGAGGCTTATGATGAAAAGGTCCAAAGTTCTCTACTTGATCATCTGGAAATGGGTCTGTGCTGCAATCAAAGAAAAATAAAGCCATAAGCTCTTGATATAGGGCTAGGACAAGAGTTTCTTTCTTCTTTTTTCTAAATTTTGTTGTAAATACCTTTTAGGTTTACATTGCTATTCATTATTGGAACTTATTTTTTAATTTTTCACATTCTTAATTTATGTTTTGCAGTCCTTTCCACTCTCCCTATATTTTTATCCATTGTCACTTTTTTCATTTTTTTTTTCCTCTTGGTGCCTGGAGAGAGTCAGGGGAGGAAATAGATAAATATCTTTTTTTTTTTTGGCATATATTTCTATTCATCCTTTTATTATTTTCTTCCCCACGGATTTACTCTTTTCAAAGGCTTTAAGAACCTATACATTAATTTTCTTTTTCCCCACACTTGACCTCAATTGTACTAGTTTTCATTTCTCTTGTCATTGTCCCTAGTAATTGAATCTATTTTTCTTGTCTTCCCCTTCTTTTGTAAAAGTTGCATTTCATTGTAAAAATTCATAATTGTTTAGATCTATGAAATTCTAGTAGAGAGGTACATTTTTCTAGGGATTAAATATAACCTGTTCATGATATTCTTTGGTATCTTATACATAAGGGCTTTTAGAACAAACCTATTATACTCTTCTGGTTAGTATTGTTTCCTTTTATAAATCACCTCAAAGTCCTTGTTTTTTTCTTTTTAAAAAGGTAGGTGGTACATATGAGAGATGGGTGTTTACTTTTTGACTATAAGGAGTTATGGTTGTCATGTCAGATAACAATTGCTTCCTTCAATCACTGAACTAAAATGTTTAGGAAAGATTTCCTTCATTGACACTTTTTAAGTGAAAGGCCCTACATGAAGTAGACCCCCGTGCTTTAATGTTTTATTTCATAGCTAACTCATTGAACTGTTAACATTATTTTTAAGAATTAATAGGGTCTTAAGTTTTTTCAGTTGACCATGCACTTGAGGATTTATGGTTCCTAAGTAATGGATGCCTGATAGCTTATGGAGCAACTGGATTCATTTAAAGGTCTTATCTGTAATTCCCAGATGTGTGACACTCAGGTGTTGACATTAGGAACTGCACATGGATTTTCAGCATTGAAACTTATGTACACACAGGTATTAGCAGTGAAGTAGCTTATGGCACCACTGACTACATGGCCCTATGTGTGCATATATTTAAATCATTAAAAATAGAAATCCACCTGCTTCCTTGGACAAAGATTATATCCCAGTATGGAAGAGTTAAAAGGTCTAAATGGGGGCTATTCTCTGCTGGTACGGATTCTAAGGAATGGGTCCTATAAAATGTCATTATGCTTGCTTAGGAAGATTTTACAATGCCTGCAGCTGCATCGAGGGCAGGAGCCACATCAGACTTGTTCCACTTTTATCCCTGGTGCCACAGGAGGTACCTGACTCACAGTAGGTGTTCAGGGAATAAAAATGGGATAAATGAAGGATCACAGAGATAATTTGGAGGACGTATACTTTTTATTATTCATTCCATGTCTTACATACATTTGGGAATAAACTGGGCATAAATAAATAAGCATTTGATATGCTTATCAGTACTGGTCACAATTTAAAACATTTTGTGAGGCACCATGTGGCCAGGATAAATTCTCTTCTTTGTCTAAAACAGTCTGCTCCATCCTTATTTCCTATTTCCCATAAATCTATACCATAGATAATACGTTTGCTGTAAACAGTCACGCTGCTTTGTTGTCCTTGACAGTGAACACTGAGTCAATAGTTGTCCCAGGTATGGTATGACTTGTTAGACTGTTGTGCAGGCTTAATAATAATTACCATGGTCTTTAATGATAACAATTCTTAATGAGTATTATTATTGCTAATAATGATTATATTTAATAATTATACCCAATACTTATTATCTTTAATAATAATAATTAGCACATGGGAACCAGTTGTACCATTGTATTATCTTCAGAACAAAAATCTAAACCTGTGACCTGGTAGTTTGCAGAGTGTCTGCCCCCACCCTCTTCTTTCCAGATCAGAGTGAGTCAGGAGGCTTCTAGGGTCCGGGAAGCAGGGAGGGGCTTCTAGAAAAACTATGTATTCTGTATGTTATTTTACCCAGAGGTGTTACTGTTATTGTGAAGTGCCTTCACAATGAACAGCGAACCCTCCATCTCCCCCATCTCTCTGCCCAGCCATCCTTCATAAGCTTTCATTTTTCTTGCACAAATGGAAGACCCAGAGCAGGTCGTTATTCCATAGCATACTAATTTGTGTGACTTGCATGGGACAGAGTCCATGTTTATTACTTGTATGTTGGTAAAACTTTGATCTTCTTGTGCCTTGGCTATGTTTAGATTTAAATGTCTGTATGACTTTTTTAAAAAAATAAAAAACAGTTTATAAAAATCTTTGGCAAATTAAACATTTTTTAGCTTTTCACACTTTGATACAAAGCAGAGAAATATTTCAGTGACAACAGATTTCAACAGATTTTCAACTAGACTAATTTGCTTTATTCTTTAGGGTAGTTTACTTCTTTTCTCTGGAAACACAAGAAATAATCCCTTTCTAGTGGTAATGGGTGTTGTTGTGTAAACTAATATTTTTTTTTAAAAGCTAAAGCTTTGTATTTTGATGTATATTTTGACATAAGGTAAATGTCAATTAGGACTTTCATGAACAGGGTATTTTTTAGGCTAATTGATAGCCTATCTACTAGGATTTAGAGAAATAACAGATACCGGAGAAACTTCTTTTAAATACTTATTGACTTTCTTGTACATATTCACATGATAGCACAGGCCCTGAAGTCAAATCTGCCATCCTATTAGGTAATTTACAACATTTCCAACAAAAGCAGATCTCATCCTGATTAAGAGTTAATGATAAAACCATAGACACAAAAGAAGGGTGTGAGTGTCTAGAAGGTCGCCTCGACCTCACCGGTGTGCCACTTCTGAACTTGAGATCTCTCAGTCAGGACACCTCGGATTGGTGCCCTCCACTTTTTAATGACTAGAATCTGAGCGTTTCTGCCATGGCCTGGAGCAGTTCTGCTGCAGTCTGATAGTAATAACGGAGGGGGGAAAGCCCGTAGCTTTCCCATTAGCCCCATCTGACTAAGAGGCTTGTTTAATCTAAACCACTGCCGATCACAGATGAGTGACTTTTATAACTGTCTCTTCCCTTCCCATCATGGTGATTGAGATTTGCTTTGTAATGTTTGTGTTTTGCTCTCGAATCTTGTCCCTCCAGGTTTGATGATACCTGTCTTTTGTGTGGTGGAGCAGTTGGACGGCTCTCTTGAATATGACAACCGAGAAGAACACGCTGAGTTTGTCCTGGTTCGAAAAGACGTGCTTTTTAGCCAGCTGGTGGAGACTGCGCTCCTGGCCCTGGGCTACTCCCACAGCTCCGCGGCGCAGGCACAAGGTATTAACGCCTCTCTCCTCTCCTCCTCATGCCTTTTGTCCATCATGACTTGCGGAAGAATGTGTTCCCTGAAATAATTCTCCAAGCCAGTGTTGGAGGAAAACGGTCAAATTTAGCATCTTTTCCAAACAGTGAACGGCAGAATATTTTTTTGCGGAGTCTTGCTTTCTCGTTGCTTTAGGAAGTATTTGACCAGTACCTCTAGAGCCACCAAAATCACATTGTGTTTCAAAGTGGTTATCACAGGTTTTTGTTGTCGTGTTGTTGTTGTTGTTGTTTGCATTGATAATGCTATTATTTTCTCTAAGTTCCCATATTGGTATTTTTTGACCTGGTGCTGAGATGTCTGACTCCTAACTTATTAAACTTTAATACATGATTTATAAGCATTCAGTTTTTCAAATATATTTACTGCAGCTTTTGTACTTTACAATCAGCTTTTAATTAAACAGCAAAAGATGAATGCATCTTACTGTACTTTTGCATCTTTGAAAACTACTCTGTATTTTGATCTAGTCCATTCATTTAAAAAAGAAATCTCAGTGTCTTTGTGATCGATTCTTCTTACCTATTTAATAAAATATTAAAATTGCATCATTATTTCAGCGGGTATTGTACAACACTGGGGAGCCCATTGTGAGCTTGTGTTGCTGCATTCTGAAGCATTGCCCATTGTTCTTTCTGCCAAAGAACTGACAAAACATAATAACAAAAATGCCCCAAACCTTGAAGAACGGAAAATTTTTTTGACCCAGTGGAATGATTATTCTTGTTTTTCAGCTGAATTGATTGAATTGTATAGTTTATGATAATAGTTATAACTGAAGGAGAGAAACATGTGACTTCTAGGCTTTGTTTTATGTATTAATTTCCTATGTGTATCCCTATAAATCACCACCTTAACATTTGTACATGCCGAAGATCTTTGCTACTTTTTAAATGAGTCCCTCTTTATATAATTCCTAAGAAATGTTGGTCAGAAAGTCTATTTATTTAGATAAGGGATCTAGGAGAGATTAAGCCATTTATGCAAAGTTACAAATATGGTGACCAAGGATATGGGATTTAAATGATCAAGCTCTTGACTCTGATTCTGTAAGCAGATCATTACTCTGTGTTTTTAAATGCTGTAATTAAGTATTTAAATTATTTTTTGTTCTACCAAGAAAGCAACTCATCCGAAACAGGGGGTCCAGAATGTTTTCCCAGGCCAGGTAGTACTCCAGAGATTCCCGTGAGTGCAAGTATATGCTGAACCAGAGAGCTTGGCCTATCTGGTGCCGTAATACAGCTGAATTGTAGAGACTGCTGCGTTCAAAGCAGCGTAATAAAGGATGATTCATTTTCTTTCTCTGAGGACTTTCCTTCTTGTGTGGGGGATTCAAGATCTGAACTCGAGCAAATTGCATACTGGCACCATTGCTTTTATTTCATGCTATCTGCCTAAATAAAATAAAAGAACACCCCCTTTCTCCCCATAAACTTTTCATGCCATTTTAGGGATATTTTCCTCTGAATGTAAAGGTCATTGTATCCCACTGCTTGCATCCTGGTGTGCCAGCTTCCTGTTTGACAGGGCTATCCATCTCAGTTAGCACGGCTGCTCAACGCGCCGTGAGCTCACATGTGGAGCACAGAGCACTAAGTGGCCAAGATTTGATTCTTGGCACAGGCTCAGGGAAGGGGCGCTCAGGAAATTTGCACTATGGAGCCACACTGTTCCATTCCGTGATATGAACTGAAAGTTCTGCACAACCAGGTGAGATGCACTAGCAAGAAATATCATCTAGAGTGGAGGATTAAACAGTGGAAAAGTCAAAAGCGAGTATTTGCTTTCCCAAAGTTTTTGAAAACCATGGTTAAAAAACACTAAATATTACACTTTTTAGAAAGTTGAATCAACATTCTGAAGGAACTCTAGATCATAGATACACTTTATTTTGTAGGTAAGCAAAGGTTTTATCACTAGGTCCTATACTGTAATCTTACAAAGGGAAACAAAAACCACAGCTTGTTTTAAAGTAGGCTGCAGATCTCTGATTGGGATAAACAGAAAAACTTAAAATTGTTTACTTTGAAATGAAAATAGTAGCTCTTTCTTGTCATTTAGATCATCAAATGTGTACAGTTTGCTGCATGTTGTTATAGAACAAACAGAATGCATGATAAGACAGGTGGTTCATGTGCTGGACAAATAGCAGAGTGGCAGAAAGCTAGAAAAGGCAATAGAAGACAGTATGACTGTATAGTCGAGGCCTGAGGTTTCATGTCTGTAGTTTTATGTTTTGTTTTGTGTCCGTTTTGTTTGTTAGTGTTTAGGAAATTTTCCCGGAGAAGTCACTGGCAAATCCATTTGCAGCATAGAAACTGACTATACCTGAACCCCTTCTTCCTATGCTGTAGAAGTTGGGCAAAGCTAAGCTGCAAGGATAGCAGATTGCTTGAGCCTGTTTTAAAAATTGAGGCTTTGAAACGTGATTTTTCATTTTGACATGACCAGAAAAGAGTTTCAAATAATTTAATTGGAATAGTATTCAGAATGTCTTTAAAAAAGAAAATATATTAGCATTGTCATTAGTTTGGAGTGATACTCCTTGAATTTCTTGGACCCCTGTTCTTGTAAGTGTGGGATAGTTAGTTTATTTTCTGAGATGGCATTCCCTCCATGTTAGCTGAAGAGATTAATAAAGAATATTTACTTCTAAAGGATGATAGAAATTCCACTAAAGTGGAATTCAGGGATTTCCGACTCCTACCCCTGCCCTCATTTTTAATAGAAACCTTCTTTATTTCAAACCAGATATTGGGACCCAAGAGAGATAAAAGCAGGAGATACTGTACTAAATCATGGATACTATGTTTCTAACTTACCCAAACCCTGCATTTCCCAGCATACATACCATTAACTCTGATTCTCAAGGATAGGAGGTACAGGATTCATCTGATCTGCTGTTGGGCGTATGCAAAAAGCTGAAAAATGGCAGGCTCTTTGTTTTTTCCAGAATAGGTAGGCTAAGGTCTAATGAACAGCAATTACATTTTACATTATACAGTAGACCATGTGTGCAAGTCACTGAATCAAAAGTCTTCTAGTCTCTTAGAAGAGGCATGCAGTACCCCTACCTCCCTTCCCAACTTAAAGTCATCACTTCCTTTATTCTTCTTACTTCCTCTCCTTTCATTCTTTCACTGCTGCTCAGTGAAGCTTTTGGTAACAGCCATGGATCTCTCTACATTGTCGAGAGAGTTCTTTATCCTACCAATTTAAGTAGCTATTTGTACTTGCCAGTATGGATGGAAAATGCATTTAATATAATGTTATGTGAATCAAGCGTAGTGCCCTGTACAGTCTTAATTATGTAAAATGTCACATATATGCATAGAAAAAAAGGAAATGTGTCAACAGGGTGTTAAGTGGGATTTTCTCCTCTTTCTAATCAGTAAACAATATATAAGTATGAAATTCTACTTCCTCCATGACTACTTCTCTTAGAAAGCAGGAAGTTATTTCTACCTTATTCCCCGAGTTTGGCGATCAGTTTACTTTGTCCCTAATATATATGTAAATGTGAAAACTTACACATGGTATAGACACATTTCTGTTGTTTTTCCAGTTTAAGATTTAAAAAAAGAGTCAAGAGGTCATTAATAAGCCCCTATGATATATAAACCAAAGGAATTCTTAGAGTCTCATCAGTGGTGCTAGGTCACATTAATTGAGCAATTACTCTATGTCAGGTACTATTCTAAAGATTTGCAATTACTAAATCACTTAATTTTAACAACAGCTCTTTGAAGTAAATTGTACGTTTCCCATTCCACAGATGAGGAAACTGAGGCAAATATAGAGGGCAAGTCACTTTCCCAGCGGTGCAGGGCCAGTGGGCGGAAGAGCTAAGGCCAGTGATGCACTTCCGAAGTCAGGGCCTTAAACCACAGGGCTGCCCGTGACAGACCGGACCACTGTGAGCTTAGGGTAGAGTAGGGGGCGATTCTTATTTGATGCTTGTGTTTTACTTTTTGACATAAGCCCTGAAAGGCACGATTTTTGTATATGTGCTGCCAAAGTAAGTACAAGTTAAGACGTTTTGGGTTGGGTGCTTTGGAAATAAATAATAATTCTATTTATTTGATAATGATAAATTATACATAGAGATACTTTTTCTATATTGAAAGAGATCTCATTAAAAACAAATCAGTAAACAAACAGAAAAACAAACTTTACAGAATCATTGTCTGTTGAAGGTTGAGTAATTCAAATATACAATTCTTTGCTCATGAGGCCAAAATGATTACCGATAAGAAAACAAAGCATATTGCTTAGTAATTTTTATCTTCAAAATAATTCAGCAGTATTAAGTGCCTACCATGTGCCAGTCACTCTTTCAGGTTCTGGGGATAAAAACTGAAAAAAAAAAAGCTTGCGTTCATGAAGGTTACATTTGGTAGTTCTGTTACATGTGAAGAGTTTAGTGCGTAGATTATTAGTTGATTTTTGACTATGCTCAGAATATCTAATGCTGAGGTTCAGAGGGTAGAAATATATATAAAATTTGATTATAATTTTGGTGCTAATTTATAATTAAATGTTCATTTTATTCCTGAAAAATACTTAAGAATTCCTTGTCCTCTTGTTAGTTTTTAAAAGTAGATGGCAAGATAGGAACAATGGATTAAAAGTTCTAGAAAACCCTTGCCCTGGCTGGTGTGGCTCAGTGGATTGAGTGCCTGTAAACCGGAAGGTCCCCTGTTGGATTCCCAGTCAGGTCACATGCCTGGGTTGTGGGCCAAGTCCCCAGTTTGGGCCATGTGAGAGAACCAATCACTGTATCTTTCACACATCGGTGTTTCTCTCCCTCTCTTCCTCCCTCTCTTCCCCTCTCTCTAAAAATAAATAAGTAGAATCTTTAAAAGTTCTAGAAAACTCTTGCTTTTCCTCATTAAAGGAAAGTTATTTATTTGCCACTTTGTCCATCGTTGTCTCCATTTTAAAAATAGGG